ATAAAATTTTAAAATTATTAAATTTTTAATGAGAAAGACTAAAATTGCACAATTATGATATTTGAGAGATTAAAATTGTTCAATTAAAAATTGTGAGACTAAAATTACACATCTAAAATCTTTTAAGAACTGAAATTACTCAATTAAGATCTTAGGGATCAAAATTGTATAATTATAATACTTGAGCGATCAAAAACACAATTAAGCAAAAAATATTGTATTCTCAGTTTTGGAACGGGCCGTTCTGAATCCAGAACGGACCATTTTGAAACCAGAACGGCCCGTTCTGAAACCAGAACGACCCGTTCTGTTTTCAGAACGGCCCGTTCTGCTGCACTGGTGGTGTGTTAATTTTCGCATCTGGAACGACCCGTTTCAGTTGCAAAATTAACACACGAAGAGTGCAACCAGAACGACCCGTTTTGGTTTCAGAACGGGCCGTTCTGGGTCCAGGTGTTTTAAAAAAAATATCATCCACGTGGCATCCACGTATGCATCTACGTGGCATCCACGTGCCCAAAAGTTAACTCCGTTTAAATAATTTAGACGGAAGTCCCACATTGAAACTAATTAATTAATTTGGGACTAAATTGAAACCAATTAATTAATTTGGGACCAAATTGAGACCAAAAATAAAAGTGAAACTACATTGAAACAAAAAAAGATTATAAGGGACCAAAATAGGATTTTAGCCCAATTATATATGATACAATATAAATGTGATCAATTAATTTATTTTTTAGTTTGTCATGCACAAGTACAACAACGCAAAATTGTAGATACAAGAAAACTTATTAACCTAAGATGGTGTTTTAGTTTTTTATTGGCTGCGGTCTTTCGAAATAGTCGCTTATTTTTCCCCTACATGGTCAAAATGATTGCAAATTCTCACTAAAGTTTGTCTAGTTCAGAATCTTGGTTACCTTTATCTCTTTTTTCTTTCTCGGATGTTTGAAATTCTTATGTCATTCTTCCCCCAAACTTGAATTTAACAGATTCAATTTGATAGTCACAGTAAGTTTTGTAATTAATATTCCATGTGAAAACACGCAGGACTAAGTTTTCAAAGTTCAAAGGATCCATAATTGAAATGTAAATAGTTGAGACACGTGTATGAGTTGAGGAAGTAACCTTGCCATTACCACTTTCGGTTTGTTTATATGGTTGCACATCGAATATGTAAATGTAGAAGATCTCCATATGATGATGACAACTATAAACTAAATCATAAAATGAAGAAGAGTACTATATGATTCGTGGTTGTAAAGAATAAATTATAATCCTAGTGCTACCTGCATAATGACTAGAGGGGACCATTTTTCCCATGCTCTCAAGTGCTTTACCGTCTTCATTATGGCATCCTCACTTTAATTAGTCTCCGTTTCACACCTTAATAACTTTAGTTCGGCAGCGACATACTCCGGATTCAGGAAAAGAAAAGGAGCCAGAATAAAGGTTATTCACTATTTTCTACAATCTAGACGTACCTAAGGAAATTCCTG